TGAGGGGGGTTAAAGGTTTTTTTGTTTTTTTTTTTCTTTTTTTTTTTTTTTTTTTTGCTATAGTGCACGTGCAACTTGCCAGAAAGAGACAGAAAGCGAGAAATCACCCCCCAGGGAGGATGGCCACGCCGTAATCCCTTCTCCATTCTCCTCTTGGGATCTTGGGCACACACGCACATGCGCCTGACATGAGTTTAAGCCACCAGTTCTGGGACTTAAACTGCGGTCAACTACATAGTCCGGTGACATAGCCATTACGCTAACTGCTGGTCCCAGAGTCACCTGTTTTCCGTAGTAAACGGAGGTCAGTGCAAAGAAGGGTACCGTTTCTCAGGGCATGCCCTCACAACCCCAGCTGGCCCAGGCTGCTCTGAGCCCGGAACCCTGGGAGGTGGTCGTGGTCAGGACATGGAGGAGGGAAAGCGGTTATTGTGGGAGGTGAAAGGCAGATGGGAGAAAGCTGTGACAAAGCCCTCAGTGGCTGCCAGGACAGCACAGGCACCCTGAGGGCAGGGCTTTCCTGTCTCTTCCCCCTGACGTGGCACATTTGGAAGTGGGGAATATTCCCGGGGTGGGGGAAGGGGCCATGGCCTCTACAGGCCACAGCAGAGCAGCAAGGGAACAAGGAGTTTCCACTTCATTTATAGCACTTCCTTGACGTAGAGGAAGGGGAAGGAAAGGATTCTGCTAACACCCTGAGCTAAAAATGGGGAAATAAAAAAATAAGGGATTGTAAAGGTTATTTCCTTCCTTGTTTTCCACCTGAGCAGCCGCGGGGAACTCAACTGGCGTTCAGTCCTTTGTAACTGGGGCCAGGAGTGAAATAAATGAACCTGGCAGTTAATCCCCAAAGCTCATTCTTACCCACGACCTTCCACCTCTTCCCTCTACAAATCTTCCAGCCCAGTTCGTGATGAGAAAAATGAGCAGACGCCATCCAGCATAAACGACTCTACCGGCCAGACTTGTCCTCTGATGGAGGTGTGGGAGCAGTAAGGAGGCCGGCGGTTCAGACAGATGCCAAAGACTAGAACCAAAGGTCACGTGCTGGGAGCTTTCTCAGAGGGCAAAGGCCCCAGGAAGGACAGAGTGGGGTGGGAATGATCTGGTCCAGCTGGGTTTCTTTACAGAAGGCAAAACTGAGGCCATCCAGCTGGTTAGTAGCAAATCCAAGCCTTGAAGTCGGCCCTACCCATTTCCAGTCTGCGGCTCTCTGCACTTCATCCACTTTTGGCTTGTGTCTGGGACCTGCTACTCACCGGCAGCTCACGCCTCCTACGATACACGCAGGGCAGGGCTGAGGCATCTGGATTCACAAGTGCTGCTGCTCCCATTTTGTGGATGAGGACACTGAGGCTCAGAGAGGTTTAGTAGATCTATAAGTGGTATTTTTTTTCAAAAATAATTATTTCATTTAGCTTTATTTATTTATTTTTATTTGACTAAAGAGGGACAGAGAGAGAGAAAGTAAAAAAGCAAGCCACCAGGTCCGGGACTTGAATCGTGGTTGGCCATGTGGGCATCCGGCGCCCTTAACCACCATGCCACCTGCCGGCCCCAATAAGTGGTATTTTTAGAATTCATACTCAGGATGGGGCCAGCAGGTGGTGTGGGGGTTAAGGCACTGGATCCCAGCTGGCCAACTCGAGTGGTTTGAGTTCTAGACCTGATGGCTTGAAAATCACGCCAGGCACGTGTGCCCAAAATCCAGAGAGGAGAATGGAGAAGAGATTGCAGCATGGCCATCCCCCCTGGGGAGTCAGTTCTCACTTTCCTTCTCTCCTTTCTATCTCTGGTGAGCACACATACCCTACAACCAAAAAAGAAAAAAAGAATTTGTACTGAGGCCTTCAGACTCCAAGGTCAGTGTGCGGTTTCTACTAAGCCATTAAGCTGTGGAGCTATTTGCAGTCCTTGCTTTCATTTAATTGTTTTTCATGGTGGATTATACTTATTTTCACTGCTTCATTGCACTTGGGAATGCGTGAAATACAAGCCCATCTTTTACCAGGAACTTTCTATCCTTTCAGCGTGTTGTGTTCTCTTCCTCACATTCAATGATGTTTCCTCGATTTTTGCCTTTTACATTCCAGGGGCAGGTGCTAACTTGAGAGGTGGTTCACATCTGTAGTCAGGCACACTCTGGCCTCAGTTGCTTGTCCTTGAATGTTAGAGCTCAGTGGGACTTTAAGCAGGCTCTGGTTTAACTCTCTCCCTCTTGCATGTAAAAAAAGCAGGCTCCAGAAAGACCGATTTCCCTCAAGCTTGCACAGCTGAGACGTGAAGCATACTGGAGTTAGCTTCACCATGCCGGGGTAACTCCACACGGCGGCCATGACAGCCAGGGAGACACATCATGGGGCTGTCTCCCCTTAGCTCTCAGAGGGTGAGTGCTTCTGAGAATAGCTCGTAGGAAAGAGAAGACACGGGGAAGCTATTTCTTTACCTTAACAGAATCTTTCAAAAAATCTCTTTACAGCCACTTTGGATAGGCTTGGGAGATGCCTGCCAGGGCTTCTTTCTTCCTTTAGATGCTGCTAAGAGCTGCAGGGAACATTAACACAGAAGGCACTGTAACAATCTAACCTTCACCCGCTTTGTCCTCCATGTTGGCCCAATCCCAGGCCATTCGTGAATACCAATAAGGATAAGGAGGGTGCACGTGAGTGGAGAGGCATGAGGTTCTGGATTTACTTGGACTAGTTGGGGAATAAGGCTATTTATGAGAGGATTCTAAACAACTCTTCCAAATATAATATTTTCTATTAGTGGGTAAGTCAGTTTAGTACTTTTAGCAGTCAAAGGTTCATATCAACATTCCCAGTCAGGGCCATCGGGGGTCATGCAGATACACGCTCATCTTGGAATACAGTGCACTCCTACCAACAGTCCACGCAAGGTCTCAGCACCATGGGGTTGAAACATGAAGCAACTGGAAAATGCTGCAGTTGGATCCGGAGTCCTTACGCAATGAGATCTGCTCTGACACTCCCCCATGGCTGGAATCCTACTCAGCTGCAGGCAGGCTAAGAAGTCTGTTCTTGATGGCAGGGGAGCAGCTGCTCTGGGGCAAGGCATAGGCATAGACGCTTAGGTGACATAGAAGCAAGCTGAGAGACAGGGCTGGAGTGAGAACATCTCCCCAACCCCTGGGCACCACTGGTAGGGCCTGGTGAAACTTGGGGGAGGAAGGTGTCCTTCCTGCTCTTTTGGGTGGAGGTTCCCGTTTATTAGCTACTGCAGGAACAGTGCACGTGACAGTGTGGTGCATGAGAAATGGGGACAATACCACTGGGGGCGCTGCATCCTGAAGGAAACTTGTGATCTCTCCTCTGGTTATGCCTAAGGCAGATAGGATGGAAGGCCCTGTCTTAGGGGTTGTTAGCCACAATCCAAATCAAAAGTGTCACTCTGGGACTAGCAGATAGAGTAATGATTATGTTAATGGACTCCCACATGGCCAACCATGGTTTGAGTCCCAGATCTGGCAGCTTGAAATATGTCGGGAGCATGTGCATGTGTGCCCAAAATCCCAAGAGGAGAACGGGGGAGAAGGGATTGTGACATGGCCATCCCCACTGGGAGGTGCTTTCTTGTTTTCTGTCTCTCTTTCTCCGTGTCTCCAGCAAGCGCACGTGCCCTATAGCAAAAATCTCTTTAAAAAAGAAAAAACAACCTTTTTCACATGGTCATTAAGAAGCATCGTGTGCTCCTGTAAGAACATTCTATAAACAATACTTAAGCATCTAGACAAGAACACCAAAGAATTCATAATCATTTATTGTAAATCACTCAGAGTTTACACATTATTAATGGCAAAATAACACTGTTAAACACCTGCTGGATGAAGAACTTCATTATGACAATTCCCAATTGGCGTCATTTCTTTTTCTAAAATTTAAAATTTAAATCCTCCATCGTTCCTGAAAATATCTATCTTCAAAGAACTCCAATACCCACACAATAAGGCCTTTCTTTTGCTCTAAAACATCTAACACAAAGGACACGCTGTCCCATTAATTCAACATGCTCTTTACAAGGCGACTTAACACACACACATTTTTAATCCAGAAGCTACATAGTGATCACTTTATAGTTTGCTGCAAAATCAATGAAGGCCGCATGCAGGTGAAACATTAGTAGACACGGAGTTCTAGGTAACTGTTCGTTATTAAGAATCTGATGGCCTGCTGTGGAAAATTAATACACTTACTTAGCGGAAGTAGCTAAAACACATGCATCGGTGGCTGGGATCAATTAGAATGTAAATTAGGTGTCGAAACATTTAAATGAGAGCTTAATTTGAGCTTAATTTGATGCCTGGCATGTCTGAGTTATACACCTTTAAAAAGACAATAGCAAAGAGAATAAACGCAAATGTCTAAACAGGCATAGATATATAGGGTAGGCTGGACACGAACCTAGCTGGGCAGTGAACGAATCTCTTTTGAAGCAAGACAGTGGAGCATTAACAAGCTGTAAACAGGGCAAAAAAATACAAGAGCCATTTCCTATATTCTCATTTTTAAAAAGTGTTCCACCTCTGACTTAAACAACAACAAAATCACACACAGGAAATAATTACAAAACAGCAACATTCTTTAGTTGCTAAATAGACCCTTCTTTTTTCTTCTCCCCTGTCTCTCTGCCCCTTCAGAATAGTGTGTTTAAAAGCAATGCCGGGTTAATAGGGAGAAAATAAAACAAACGTTCTCCTGAATCACACTGAAAGAATATTAAATTCCTTCATCCTGTCAGGGTTAACATCACGCACAAGCACATGAGAATGGATATTTGACATATGGTAGCTACAGCAATTAAATCACACCCACACTCTAATGTTAAATCATTGTAACGTCGACTTACAAAAATTGGGAGTTGTATTTCAACATTATTTTGAGACAAACAAAAATTCCCCGAACCATAGACTCCATTCCCTCTCCCCCCTCTGCGCCCCCCACCCCAAATCCAATGAACGCGAGACTATAATAACAAAAGCCGAGACCCGAGGCGTCAGTGGCAGACTTGACAGATGGCGGTTCCAGGTTCAGGCGCTGCCATCTCCAGTCCTGGCTTTCTGGGCCTCGATCATCGGCTTGGGTGCCCGTTTGCGGTCAGTGGCCAGCCCCAGCCAGCACATGAAGTCAATGAACCAGGTGGTTGGGTTGAAATTTAAGCCAAATTCGCTCGCAGAGTAGTCAAAGGGAAACGTGTGATGGTAGTTGTGGAAGCCTTCACCTGGAAGACAAAGTGGGCAGTGAAATAACTCAGTCACTACCGCTCCACACAGCTGCGTTTCATCACCTGTTTAGAGGGTCTACCCCGCGCGAGACATTTTGTCAGGCTCCGTGGAGAGAAAAAGACTTGTTCTTGCCCTCAGAAAGCATTTCTTTATTTGGCTAGACAAAGTAAATGTGAGCAGAAAAATAACAGAGTTTTATCAGTATAAAGCCATATCATTAATTTTACTGTAGGAATTGTAGACATGATACCGTGACTTTATTAGGGCTGAACCTTTCTTTCTAAGTCTATTGATTTTTCTGGCAGAGAGAAACAGAGACAGAGAAAGAGAGGGAGACATCTTCAATAGGACCTTCGCACTGTGAGCCTCCCATCATGACCTCCCCAGCCAGCTAGGGTAATGGGCATTCCAAGTGGTTGGAGCTAGACCTGGGACGTGAACCCAGAGCCCTCCCACGTCACCTGCAGTATCACCCAGCAGTGCCCCTACTGCGTGCGCCACCATGGCTAGGCCCCATGCCATATACTTTTTAAGCTAAAAGCTCAACGGCTGATAACAGATCATCGTGATATTCATTAATAAAAGGTAACTAGTTTTTACGGACTAGAGTGTTAACAGGAAGACTTTTTAGAAGAGCTTGGAAGATAGAAAGGAAAATTGTTCAGATGATCGAGTAAATTAACAATTTGGATCTTTTTCTTTTTATGATTTTTTTTGCCAAAGGGCGCTTGCACTCACTGGAGAGAGAGAGACAGAGAGAGAAAGTGAGAAATCACTCCCTAAGGAAGATGGCCATGGCCATGCCACAGTCCCTTCTCCTCTATTCTTCTCTTGGGATTTTGGGCATGCACACAAACACCGTGTATTTCCAAGCTGCTAGGTCTAGTCTAGGTCACACTGCAGTTGGCCATGTGGGAGTCAAGCACACTATCTACCATGCCAAATGTTGGCCCAACAAGTTGGATCTTTAAAGTTGATTTGTTTATTCTATGAGAGGGAGAG